CGCACGCTGCCACTTTGCTGCAGGGCTGGACGTAACGAGTGACACATCTGAGGTGAAAATGAAGGTGGTCAGAGGCGAATCGGCTGTGGGACCCTCGTGTCCTTTGGCCAGTCAGTGGCTTGCTGCCCTTCTGTGCTGTGGCCTGTTGTCACTTCTCGTCCTTTTTGGATCAAGTGATTTTCGCTTGAACTCCATGCGGTGGGCTTTTCTCCTTGATATCAATTTTTTTTAAATAACTGAGTCGAGTAAACTAAAAAGCTCACAGCAAAACCCATCCCTTACCTCTCAACTCAGCACGTGCACGCTGGCTTCATAACAGGTTTTTCCGTGACAGTCTCTCATTTCATCCTCTTGAGTGGATTGGTGGAAGCAGGACTTTCGTGCCGTGAGGTATGGACGTGGGAGGTCAGCTGGGTTAGAACTGAGAAGAGATAGGGTCTTCTCTGTGGTCTCGGTGACTCAGATTCTCATTTTCCTAAGTCCCTCCCACAGCAGATTCTCAGGTCTGGATCATTAATGAGAACCAGAGTTAAAGATGTATTTGAACAAGGGGGAGGTGGGAGAGAGAGTGAGCTCTTTTTAGAAGAACAGCTTTCACAATTCTGTAAATAAAAGCTGATAGCCCAGTTTGGGTTCTTTCCAGAAACTTTATTCCCAAGCTATTTATTTTAAGTTCCTATTTTAAATTTGTTTTTGGCAAAAGAAAAATAAAGGCACCCAACCACTTTCTGTTCTCTAGTAGGAAAATCTCAAACTTTAGGCGATCTGGAGCAGCCGGTCGGTCAGTTAATGTGTCTTCGGGGAGGGTCAACTGTTCTTACGGTGGGCACCATGCTGGATGTCACGAGAAGACCCGAGAGACTCAGGGCTGTGGTCTTTATCAAGAAGCTTCAAACCGATTTGCAGGAAGAGAGATTCGTGTTCAGAACGCCACCCTAGGTCACCGCGAAGAGGTGCCCACTGAGCTAAGCTGGGAGAGCTTAAGCATTGGAAAGTGCTGATGGCAGTGCATCGGAACACCGTATACATAAGGACACGGGGTCACGGTGATGGTGACGACGCCAGCCAGCCACAACACTCCTGGTCACCAGCGCGGTTGCTGGAATCAACACATTCTAAAGATTTATAAGGGAAAGAACTTTAAAACACACACGCACACACGCACACACACACACACCCGACTCCCCCACCCCCCATACCTACACCAGGTGGTCAGTTGAGAAGCCCAGAAGGAGCGATGATAGGAAGTTTGTTCGTGCTCCTTGGCGCTGGAACGTGAAGCGAGGCCTTGCTGTCTGTGCCAGGTCGGTCGGCCGTTGGTGAAGAGCAGGCAGGTTCCTCTCCCACGGGGGACCAGGGGCTGGGAGGCAGCTTTCGTAGGGAACAGACGGTGGGTTTGGCCCCTGGCCCACCTCTTACTGGCCGTGAGATCTAGGGCAAATCATAGAACCCCTCCCACTCCACTTCATTCAAAAGGTAATAGGGATGATGATCACACCTCATGGTGATATAAGGTTAAGTTGAACAAAAGGCTTAAAGGCCACGGAAGAAGCAGTTACCAAAAGCGGATTCCCTCCCCTGCCTTTCGAGGGTCCAGGCACCGATTTGAGGGTGCCACACGGCCCCCAGGGCCAGCGTGGCCTCTGCATTTCTGTGTCTCTCACCCAGTGGAGTGACATCACCAGACGTCTGCCTGTGGCTGTCGCTCCCTTCCAAGACCACACAGGCATTGCCCACATCGTGACCACCAATTTTGAAATAGTGAAAATAGCTTGTGGTTTGGAAGGAACTGTCCTCCGCTGCTGACCACAAGCAGAATTACAAGTAGAGCGAACTAGAAGGCACAAATGATCTCCTTCTGAAATGGAACTGTAGAAATCTAAAGCTTGGGCACTTTTGGTTTTGGCGAGGTGAGCTATTTTTAGTGACGGAGCAAACTCCAGTGTAGCAGAGCGAAGGATGGGCTTTGGGTCAGACTGACGAGGGTCTGAACCCGGCTCGGCCACTTTCTGGCTGTGTCCTGGCACACGTTATTTGGTCTTTGAGCCCTAGTTTCCTTCCAGCATCATGAGAAGTAACACGTGTCATATAGAGTGGTTGTGAAGTATAGAAAAAACACAAGTCGTCTGTGCATATAAGTGACATCTGTGCCGTTGGCTGTTGGGGTTGTGCCGAGTGTGTTTGAACTGCGATCCTTACTTATCCTGTTCTTCGATTCTTACCTTAACCTTGTGACCATCTCACAGCAGGTTTTAGCCTTCATGTGGCTGAGACACAGCCCCGGTGAGAGCGAATGACTTACTAAGGCCGCACGTGTTCACTGGGAGCCGTGGGACTGGAACCCACATCGTCTAAGGGCTCGGCCGCTCGGCCGCACAGGACCTATGTGTGTTGCTGTCTTAGCTCGTTTGCTGACTGCGGTCTCAGAAATGCAGCTAATTTATGCAGAACTCTCAGGTCCTTTTCCGGAATGTCAAAAAAAAGGGCAGGAGGGGAAAAGGGCTTGAGCAGTGAAATTAATTTTCTCTTGTGCTTGTTAGGTCCACTTAAGAATTCCCTAATACCTCCAAATGCCACCGGAAGTCAAGGGCAAGGCGCCTCCTTGACCTGACGGGTGGCAGACTCGTTGTGGGTCGTAGGGATCTGGCTCCGGGTCAAGGCTTGCCCTCTGCGAATGTTCCCCTCCTTTGCCCCAGCTGTCAGGCCAGCCCAGGCCGCGTCCTTGGCTGACAGTGGTTTTATTTCCCCGAGGGCTTCAGTAGAGTTCACGTACAAATTTACACTACATGTCTGCCTGCCCTTTTGTTTCTGTAAAGTGGTCGTATTGTGTTTCCAATTGAAACGATGAGAAAACGGACACCGGGTATCCCATGCAAACAGAAGTCGTCGTCTTATAGACCGCCTAGGTTTGTTCAAAAAGGCCTGACCTGGAAGTTAGGGGGTGACAGTCAACCATGAAGTGACCACGATTACCTGTGCCCCCGCCCCACCGCCCCACCCCATTTCTGAATCAGAGATCTGAGACGGGACTCTGGCAGGAGTTGGGAACCACTGAGCCGGACACCCAGAATCCAGGTTTTTACTCTTTTGGGTGCTGCTTTGAGGCCTCATGGTAGTAAGAGACCATCAGATCAGTGACCAGGGTTTGCTTTTCTTCAAACAACATATGTTTCAGGCACAGAGATGAATAAAGCCTAGACCCTGTCCTCTAAACACATCCAGCGTATCGGGGAACACGCCCACCAGACAATTCCAATGCGATGTGCTAAGTGTAAGGCCAGGAAGCTGCCGCAGCCAGGCGCCCAGCATAGGCGGAGTCAAGGAGGGCTTCCTGGAGGAGGGCTGAGTCCGTGGGATACACAGGGGTCAGGGATGACAGGGCCCCCAGGCAGAGGATGCGTCATGAGTAGAGGCACGGAGGCACTCAGCTGACCTTTGCTGCCCTGGCCTGTGCCTGGAAGACCAGGCTCTTCCAATGTCGAAAGGAGATGGTGTGAGGCTCGGGCTTAGTCGTGAGTTTCACACCAGACAGGAACAGGAACCTCTTGCTGAGCTTCTGGGGGAGTGCTGAGCTGTCACTCAGGTGGTGACTCCTGCCGTCATGCAGGCCACAGGTCCCCAACCCCCAGCAGTGGACTGGTACTGTCTGTGGCCTGTGAGGACCCAGGCCTCACAGCAGGACGTGAGCGGCGGGCGAGTGAGCGAAGCTCGTCTGCATTTGCAGCCGCTGCCCAGCGCCAGCATCGCCGCCTCTGTCATGCAGGCCACAGGTCCCCAACCCCCGTCTGTGGCCTGTGAGGACCCGGGCCACACAGCAGGACGTGAGCGGCGGGCGAGTGAGCAAAGCTCCGTCTGCGTTTGCAGCCGCTGCCCAGCGCCAGCATCGCCGCCTCAGCTCCGCCTCGGACCATCAGGCGTTAGATGCTCATAGGAGCCCCGGTCCCTGCTGCCACAAAGCGTGGGACCGCTGATATAGGCCAAGGAGGAGTCCGAGGGAGGTCAGGGAGGCGTCGGGGTACCCTGAGCGGTCTCATCCGGTGAGCCGGGACTGCGGGACTCGTGCAGGCTCGCTCTCTCCTGCTCCTCCTGCTTCGGGACCTGTTGCCAGCACAGTGGGCCACACTGTCATGACGGCAGAGTTACTGCTGCTCCTGGTGCAGCTCGAATTTCCTCAGGCTTTCATGCTGCGGCCGTGGCCCTTATTCGTGGGCGGGCGGAAGCTGGCGGGAGGGGTGGGCGAGGCCGCCGCGCTGACCGTGTGCGTCTTGCCCTCACAGCACACGTGGAGAACGAGGAGCAGTACGCCCAGGCCCTGGAGAAGCTCGGCGACAGCTGCGTGTGCAGAGGTGACCCGGACTTAGGGAGCGCGTTCCTGAAGGTCTCGGTGCTCACGAAGGAGTTGACGGCGCTTTTCAAAAACCTGGTGAGTGCCCTGCGCATCCACGCGCCTCCCCCGGCCCGCGCGGGAAAGGCCGGCGGTTGTAGCTCAGAAGAGGGCAGTTAAGGTCCATTTGATAGAGCGGGAGTGAACTTCATACCTCACGTGGTACCGAAGGGCATTGCGCTTTCTGTACACATCAGGTCACTTTGGAACACGAGACTTTTTAGATTCACCTCGGCATTTTAAACATGCACCGCTGCGGGACGGAATGGGTAAAGCATTCATCTTCTTAAGGGCCTCTGACTTCATTTTTTAAGTTTCTAAACTGTGTACAGTAGTCTGTTTCTGATAATTACAGTCGGCATTGAAACTTATAATATTTAATACACACGTTTCAGACCTATCTTACACAGCAAGGTAACCTACAATCAAAGCGCGGAAATTACTGTGGCTATGTAAAGGCCTTTTATTCTCCCAAATGCAGAGCCTAAAAAACGTCCGACTTTTTAAGCCAGCGGGAATACGGAGTTGTACTTCCTCCCTGCGGTAGGTGTTTGGGGACGTGGGCGAATGGAGCTCCTTTGGGGCTTGGCAGCTCTGTGCCCGCCTCGTCCTCGGGGGGGGAACGGAATTCTGGAGAAGTGGGCAGCCTGAGAGGGCTCGTGACCCGCTCGGGTGGTTTCTCCCATGAGAGGGCTGGACGCTGGGATCGTCCCAGCATTCTTTCCCTGTTTTTCTCCCCCGGCTTCTCTGAAAGGTCATGGACAACCAGATTCGGGTCAAGAACTCAGTAATGCTTTCTGTGCGGGCCGCAAACAACAGCGCCTTCTTTATTTCCCTGGTCAGCAAGCTCATAACAAGTGGGGGCAAAATAGCTCCTCATTCTCCTCATGGACATGGTGGCGGGTTTGTAAGTCTGGCCTTGGATGGCGGAAACGGGGGAACAAATACTTGAGTTCGCGGCAGGAGAGGGGAGAACCGGGTCACAAGGCCCGGCCTCTCCCCCGGGGCCTCTTCACTTGTGAAATATCCCAGTTGGAAACGGTAAAAATAAAAAGCCGTTACTGTGTTTAAGTTTTTCACTTGGGTTAATTTGAAATCTCTTGGGGCTTTTATTGAGTTCGTCACCGTCTGTGTCTGGCCTAAACAGGCCGATGGCACGCACGCTGAGCCGTGAGCCCTGGGCCCTTTCAGCCCTGGGCCCTTTCAGCCTTTTTTTGGGGGGGCTGGCACATGTGCTGGTTTGGATATCACCACTGAGCCAGACTGGAGCTTTTGCTTTTTTTTTCAACCGGAGACACCAAATGATCCCACGGAAGAGCACCGTAGATGCTGACGTGTGGGATCTTCTAGTGAAACAGCCTGCCCCTGGTCTCCCAGCCCCTTCCGTGCACACAGAGCTGCCAGCCAGCTCCTGAGTGCCCAACTCTTAAATATGAATGAACAGCCTCCAGAGTGAAAGGGACCAAAGTAAACAAGGAAAGGACACAGCACCAGTGAAAGAGCAGGAGAAAACTCTAAAGAAACACTTGTCATTCCTTAGGGAACTCAGAATAGACATCGTATCCAGAAGGAAAGGGGAATGCAGCCCGTGGTTAAAGAAAAGGGGGCGAAGAAGACAATGAATATAAGAAAGTATGAGATTAAAACTCCTGTGAGAAGGTTCGGAGTAGAGGAAACCTCTCAAAGTAGGTCAGAAAGACAAGAAAGTAGGAAATGGGTAAAAGGCCCGACGAGGGTTAATCCTCAAGGCCCAGCATCCAACTGACAGGCGTTTCAGAAAGAGAAGAGAGCAGCGGAGGAGGACGCGGAGAAGCAGCAGGGCCGCCGGTGTCTCAGGCTCGAGGATCCACATCCCAGGTCAAAAGACTTCCGAGTGCCCAGCACGGTAGGGAGAAGGGCCCACCCAAGGCGTCCCGTGAAACGCCAAGGTCTTGAACGCCTCCCGAATGCACACGGCGCATTGAGAACCACAGTGGAATTCTCTGCAGAAACACTAGAAACTAAGGCTGGAGCCGTGATGCCAAACCCCTGGGCAGCATCATTCTACCCTGAGCTACACCCAGCCAGCTGAGCACCAGAGAGACTGTCAGACGTGTAAGGCCCGAAAAGTTTAGCTCCCACGCATCATTTCTCTGCAACTCCTAAAGGATGCGCTTTGGCAAAATGAGGAAGGAAGCCCAGAAAGGAACTGTGCAAGTCAGGAAACAGGCTCCAGGCAGGAGGGAGCGGGGCGGGCCCCAGGAGGAGGCTCGGAAGCCCCAGCAGGGCGCCTGAGCAGGAGGCCCGGAGAGCAGTCGCCCCAGACGCCAACAGGGGACGCCGAGGCAGGAGGCCAGGTCTGTCCCCCACCCTAGGCACTTGGCTGTCTTATCTTCATTCAGCTGATCTCAGCTGAAAAATGGGGGTGATGATGCCATACCTGGCTATGTGTGCAGAATACAGCCAGTTGCTTCACACATCTTAGCTCGCTTAATCCTCTACTCCCATGGGTAAGTCAGTGTTATCCCCACTTTACAGATGAGGTAACTGAGGCTCTGGGGGGTTTAAAGAGCTAATCTCTCTGGAGGGTGGCTGCATCCTCGCCAGCCTTTGGATGTGCCTCTCTAGGTGTAGAGGGGCCCACCTGCAGCTCCACACTGGAATCCTGAACCATCGGGCTTGCACTCACTCACCGTGCACAGCTGCACAGTGCAAGAAAAGCAGCCCCTTTTCTTGATTTTCTGCAAAACCGAAGCAAGGCGAGGCCTGGGCAGTGTGACGGCACATGCCTGCCACCCCACAGCTTTGCCACCGGGAGCACTCCCGAAGTCCCTGCCTGCCTGCTTGCTCTGCCTCCCCCTGCAGCGTGTGAGTTGTCAGTGGCCACCATTCAGCGAGCACCCAGAGCTGCGGGCACTGGGCTCGACAGCGAGGGTGTTCGAGCTCCTGCCAGCTCACCCAGCCCCCAGCAGCTGCGCCGAGGTAGCTTGCATGACCTTCATCTTACCAGGTCCTTGGCTAACGAGGGACGGAGTGGGGAGTCAGATCTAGGTCTTAAACTCCAGACCCATGCTCTTTTTGCTGTGGTATTTAAACTTTTTTTGGGGGGGGGGGTGGCGGTGGGGAGACTGAACAGAAGGGCAGGCAATTCGGGAAAGGCACAGCAGGGAGAGAGTTGCAGCCTGGGCGGCTGGGCGGCCGCAAGTCAGCCCGATGGCCCCAGTGCCTCCTCGTAAACCGAGGATGCGGAAACCTGGCCTGTCCCACGGGGCCAGCACTTAGAGAAAAGCCACAGTGGGATGGGTGATTTGTGAGTTAATAACCCAGCCCCCGGGTGACATGTTAGTGTCATCGTGAGAAGTAACTTCCTAAGGGCCAGGTGCACGGCTTCAGTTTCAGCTTTGACTTTATGGAGTTAGGATTGTCGATCCTGTTTCCCGGCAAAGATAAAAAGAGAGAAACTCTCTTATTTGTGCCCACACTGGCTTTGACCAGGCCTGGTTCTCCAGGCCGGTGTTGGCATTCAGGCCGTACGGCCGTCAACGCCAAGTGGCCGCTTGTAAGACGCCGTTGCTGAGTGAGCCGATTATAGGAGAAGTCTCTTTTTTTGGTGTTTTGTATACCATTCTTATTCCTGTTTTTGGTCACATCTGTCCTATCTTTTATTTTTGAAGCCTTGCTTTTCCCTAGACATTTAAAAAACCTTTTGGTTCCGTATGGCTAAGTTTCTTGATTCTGCCTCTCATCCAGGAAGAATACTACCACCTACCTGTTTTGTGGTGTGAAAGATGTTTATAAAGCAGTTGAAACGTCTCCGAAGAAAGACCAACTTAATATAGAGTGAGATTTTGTTACTGAGGGGTGAGATCCTCACCTTCAGGAAGTCTATGAATTTTCTCTGCGGTTATGCGGGATAAAGTGGGGAACGAGGCAGCTCCAAAAACGTAACACGTGTGAAGTTAAACCGGCCACGGAGTCAGCCTGGTTTCTCGGGTTCCTTTCCTCTTGCCAAATGGAGGTGAGCTTCCTGGAAGAATTTTCCCAGGGCACGGCAGTGCTGAGAAGTGGCTTTTTAATGAACGGCCACATTAAAGGAGGACACGTTTCTGAAAGGTTGGGTACAGATATGGAGTCTCTGGCTCTGAGTAAAACGTGTGCTCTCAGCCTACAGAGCCTGTTCTAGGTGACTCGGGCCAGTGGGTGCCGAGGCAGGATGGGCGTCCACTGCGATCTGCGAGCAGCCCCAGGGCTGAGGAATTTCACTTCACTCGTATTGAAAGAGGAACTTGAACGTTCCACCATCCTACATGCACATAAGTCATGCATAGTTTTTAAAGACAAATGATCGGAGGTAGAAGACACTGTTGCCTCGGAGTAAAGAGCTAGGCAGGTTCTGTTCTGCTGGGGTGAGTGGGGCTTGTGGCCTTGACCGTATTCTGAGTGCAGAGCCTGGCAGGGGGCACTGCCACGTGCCGCACTGGTAGACGGCAGCAGCGGCCGTCTTGGTCCGAGCTGATTCTCCACACTGATAGAGCTTATCTCATGGCTTAATATCGAGACCTTTCTACCACCTGTCTTCACCCTCGGCGCGTCCACGAACGTTCGTTATCTTCTTTTATTGAAAATGTATTACTTTTTTTTTTTTTAATTAAACTAGGCACTGGTCATAATTTCATCTTTTGGGGAGGAAGACTTGCCACGCTTTTGGGCATAAATTAATGAATCGTGCTGAAATCTAGAGACACCCCGGTGGTGTGTACGTGGTTATGGGACTGTCTGCCCCTCGTTTGGTGGCAGACGGTCTCCCTCTGCATTTCCGATATCTGCTTTTTATATTCTGACACTTTTCCTTACCAGTTGCCATTTTTTTTTGCTGCTGTCGGCGCCTGTCTCCAGCACCCTGAGCTGGAGAACGAGATGACTTGGCTTGTTGGACTTGTGTGCAAAGTAAGATTCTAGTGAGGAGGACTGAGGGCTGGGCTTCTCTAGGGCAGGGGTCCCCGACCCCCGGCTGAGGGAGCGAAACGTCCTCTGTGTCTGCAGCCGCTCCCCAGCACAAG